GGTTGGCATCGCATGCGTTATGCTCGGCAGCTGCGTCATTGCCAATTGAGATAAGGTCAAACGGCGCGAGCGACAGCCAAGAGCAGAGATTAAAGAGAAAAGTGAAGAGCGAAGAGAGAGTGGAGAGGAGTGAGTGGAGAAGGGAGCGTGAAGAGGGAAGTAACAGTAGCAGCAGCAACCGGGTGATTACGAATGCAGCGTGCACAGAGCGAAGAGAGAGCGGTGAGTGCAGAGCGGAGAGTGCAGAGGGGTGAGTGGAGAACGGTGGGTGTAGAGCGCTGAGTGGAGAGGGGGGTAACAGTAGCAGCAGCAGCAATGATTGCGAATGCGGCGTGTGCCGCGATCATTTGCCGTGCACATTCCGCATCGTGCGCCAATCGCGAGTGGTTGTTGCCCGGAGACGAGCGCTTGTCTAGAGAAACCAGCCACTGCCCCCCACACCTCCTCCCACCCGACCCTTTTCTGAATACACGTCAATTGAATTGTCGCCGGAGAATATGTCGAAATTTGAACTGAAAAATCTGGATGAATGCCTGGAGAAGCACTTGCCAGCGGAGGAGCTAAGAGAGGTGAAGCGCATACTTTATGGCGTGGAGCAAGAGTAAGTATATCTATATACACACACACACACACACACACACACACACACATGGAAACTCTATGCTAATCAGAGCTTTACAGTCAGCAGCTAACTGCCAGATAAGCAATACAATGTAGTTTAACAGCTGCACAGATAAGCCGAAAATTATGTCAATTATTTGGACAGTCTCTAATAAAATTTGTGGTAATAACATGTGTTAAATTCACGCCCTATCAAAAACCAAATAAACACATTAAATTTATATTTAGAACATATATATATATATATATATATGGAGAGAGAAAAAGAATTCTCAGTTTGAGAGTGATTGGCATGATTTACTTGCGCTTCGAAATGTTTATATTATTTGGCGCTACAAAGCTGTCTGTATAAATTATACATTTATTGTGCTTTATTTAAAAGATATCTAATTTTTGTGTTTAGCGTAAAGCTAATAGATATCTGTTGAATGTATATTACATTAATGGAATATATATTTCAAGTTCGAAGACTGGAACAGAAAGAGACCAAAAGTTGGTCTGATTGACTAGCTATAGTATCGATCGGTGGTACTATTAGATAATTGTGTATCCTAATTCTACTATCTCTGCTCCACTCATTCCATTCTTTCTTATTCTCTCTTTGCAATCATCCCTTAGCCAAACTCTGGAGTTGCCAGCGAGCGCCACACTCACCGCCGAGCAGAATGGCTTTGAGATCAAGGGCTATCGCTTTGGGGCACGCGAGGAGCAGCTGCGTAAGCCGCGTCTGGTGCGTGTGGGCGCCATCCAAAACTCCATTGCGCTGCCAACGACGGCGCCCATTGAGCAGCAGCGCGAGGGCATTTGGAACAAGGTGAAGCTGATGATCAAGGCAGCGGCACAGGCCGGCTGCAACATCGTGTGCACCCAAGAGGCATGGAGTGAGTAGCATCAAACTCGGATATTTAATCGAACAACGCAGTGTTCGAGTGAACAAGAAGAGAAGTTCGAGCTGTTCGAACTGTTCGAGCCAGCAACATGTTCGAGCTCAATCTGCGCATGTTTGAGCTGAAAATATGAATCTCGAACCGCTCGAACGAATGCTTGTTAAAGTTTTAGATACGGATACACGTTTCGATTGACTCGATGTTAGACTGAAATTCTAACGTTATAAACATAGACACCTATTGCTCATGGTTATGGTTGAAGAAGTTCGACAGCGAGCCAGCAACATGTTCTTTTTTTTTTTTTTAATTTGGTTTATTTTGCGCTGGAATCGATCAGTGCCTTCTGATCTCTACCAAGCGGAGTTAAGGGTATAGTGTATAGTTATTATTTAATAACTTAAATGATAATTACAGACTTAAAAATATATAACAATAATGGGAAAGGGATGTTTAAGTGATGTGCCTCGTTGGTAGGTCGTCGGGGTGTAGCCTTCGGAGGCGCCTCTCACTGATGGGCTCAGCCAGGGCCCTTGCGGCCGCGTTCGGATGCTGCACCAATTTGTCGGAGTATCGGCTGCTGAAGAAGTTGAGCTGATCTCCGACCTTTGTTGCAACATGTTCGAGCTATAAATTTAAATCTCATCACATTTACCGACTGACTCGATGCAGGGCTCCCCCATCCCTCATATATAAACATAAACACCATTTACTAATGATTTATGTCTTCCCCTCCCCTTTAGCCATGCCCTTTGCGTTCTGCACGCGAGAGAAGTTCCCCTGGTGTGAGTTCGCCGAGGAGGCGGAACGTGGTCCGACAACCAAAATGGTGGCGGAGCTGGCCAAGGCCTACAACATGGTAATTATACACTCAATACTGGAAAGGGATGTGGAGCATGGCGAAACGATCTGGAACACGGCCGTGGTCATCTCGAACAGCGGCCGTTACATGGGCAAGCATCGCAAGAATCACATACCACGCGTCGGCGACTTCAATGAGTCAACCTACTACATGGAGGGCAATACGGGGCATCCCGTGTTCGAGACTGAATTTGGCAAACTGGCGATTAATATTTGCTATGGCCGGCATCATCCGCAGAACTGGATGATGTTCGGTGTGAATGGTGCGGAAATTGTGTTCAATCCCTCGGCCACAATAGGACGTCTCTCGGAGCCATTGTGGGGTATTGAGGCGCGGAATGCGGCCATTGCCAATAGCTATTTTACGGTGCCCATCAATCGCGTCGGCAGCGAGCAGTTTCCCAATGAGTACACCTCCGGCGACGGTCAGCCGGCGCACAAGGAATTTGGACCCTTCTATGGCTCCACATATATGGCGGCGCCCGATGGCTCCAGAACTCCGGTAAGTCTTCGAATTATTTTTTATCAGTCTAATTCGACGTCCTTCGTTTTCATGTAGAGCTTATCCCGCTGCCGCGACGGTCTGCTGGTAACCGAGCTGGATCTAAATTTGTGTCGCCAGGTCAAGGATTTCTGGGGCTTCCGCATGACGCAGCGACTGCCGCTGTACGCCGAATCGTTGCGCAAGGCCGCCGAACTGGACTTCCAGCCGCAGATAATCAGAGAGTAGTGAACACTTCCAAAAATGTATATTGAAATAGAAAATCAAATGAAAAATATTACAAATCCTTTTGGTAGTACCCAGTCAGACGTTGAGCCTCGCGCATGCCCGTCTCCACGGCGCCATGCACGGTGGAATAATGAGTAGAGCTGGTTGCCTCACCGGCAAACAGAAGAATTGGTCGCACCGACATGGGTATAATGTGATCCCAGGACATGCGTGAACCGCACGGCTCATAGGCCAGCATATTGACCGGTTGGGCCAGCTGATCGGGCCCGGTTTTATAGCTGTTGGTCAACAGGGAGCGGTACGAGTAGGCGCCCAAATGCGCCGGATCGATGCTCCATTTGCTGCTGACCACGCGCTTGGGATGCGGTATCTTCAGCTGGGGCAGAAATCGCTTCAGCATATACACGACCCCATGGGCCAACAGTTTGCCGTCTATTGTCTCGATCACCTCCGTGCTGGGTCCCGCCGCCCAGCCAAGCAGCACCCGGGGCTGACAGGCATAGACGTGAAAGGCGTATATGTCCGAGACCCATTCGAGCTGCGGCTGATTCATATCCTCGGTGCGCCACATGGCATTGAAGCCACGCCAGTTGTCCTGCCAGAATTGTTCCTCGAATTCGGCAAAAATCTTGCACACGCTGCCAAATCCCATAAAATTGATGGCCTTGCGTTTGGCCTGCGGCAGATACGGATGAAAGAATGTGGTATTACGCTTGAGCACGCCCAGCGATACGGTGACAACCACATGATCCGCAATATATTTCTTGTCATCCTCGCAGGAGAGCAGCACGGTACCATCCGCACGATCCCAATCGATTTGCATGACGCGTGTATTGAGATCAATGCAATCCTTGAGCAAACCCTGTTCGTTCATCTCATCGCCGCCAAGGAGCACGCGCAGGAACTGCTTGAAGCTGCAAGGGATAACGAGGGTTTAGGTTGGGTTGGGTTGGTTGAATCCTAACGGTTGCCTACGGCCCTACCCGCGTTCGCGGAAATTGTGATTTTCGCCGTGACAGGTGCGGTATGTCTCGTAGCCGGAGGCGCTCATGTCTGTGTCCACGGCGCTGCCCTCCATTTTCTTGAATGTGCGCAAAAATTCGGCGGCCAGTTCGCGATTGAGATTCTTCAAACCGGGCTTTGACAGCTCCTCGGCAAACTTCTCCACCAAATATTCACCAAAGGTGCCCTCGCGTTCGAACAGCTCCGAGCGCTTATAACGATAGATGGACGAGAGGACATTCACCAGCTTGCGGGCGAGAGAGCGCGACATGCGCTGTCCGCTGGAACGTATCCAATCCATGTGCCGAAACATGTCGCCCGCCGGCTCCAACATATTCATTTCCTTAACCATTTGATATACAACATTCTCCTGCTGACCATAGACCCACTGGGCACCCAAATCGATATAGTTGTCGGCAAATTTCATCGTTCTGATCCGTCCGCCGATGCGATTGGACATCTCCACGATCCGCACGTTCTCGAAACCGTGCCTCTTCAGCTCGACGGCGCAGGCGAGTCCCGAAACGCCGGCGCCCAATATCAGAATTTTGGGATCCTGGTGCAGGGGCAGACTAAGTTTCTTGGGCGATTTTCTCTTGGATGCATGATACCGATTGTGAAGCCCTTGATTTGTTTTTTTCGCACAACACTGCGGTAGTTGGGGTTTAAATATGAATTTCTCCAGTTGCCATCGGCCGTACTTACACTTCCCATATAATAATTTACAAAATTTTCAATTATCTAAAACTAAAACTGTAGAGAAATTGTCAAATTCACTCAAATTTCGAATTTATTTGCCTACTCAGCACAGCTCCGAGCAATCCCCAAAACGAAGATCCGTACGATTATTAGGGGGGCAGAAATTTAAAAAATTCCAATTCTTATAGAAAAACGTCTCAAAGGATATAGATCTTTGCGTATAAATTTAATTCAATTCAATCAGATGAAAAACAAAAATAGCCAACCATTAAAATATCCAAAATCAGTGCCAATCGGACGAAAACATAAAACCTTGCAATCGTTTTCCACTTATTTTTCACTCTATTATACCACATAAAGAAGTGAAAATGCAGCTCATCAATCAGTCAGACAGACAGAGAGACAATCAATCAATCAGTCAGAACAAACAGCTTATATATATACATATATACATATGTGTATATACATTTATATGGATAATCACATTTAATTGCCATGTCGGGCAAAGAGCTCGTATTTATATTTATATGGGCCTCAATCACTCAATCAGTCAGTCAGCACAGTTTTCTTTGTCGTTGTACTGTCAATTTATACTTCATTTCAACGTTAAATGTAACTTCTGTGCAAAAAGTAGCTTCATAGTGCTGCGTTGATCGCCAATCAGTAAATTAATCAATCAGACAGCTAGCCAGTCAGTCAATCAGTCAGTATATATTGTGAATCCATTTTTAGCTATTCTGAACTTAAATTGTAACTTAACTTGAAAAATGAAGCTTTATAGCCTGCGCTTTGCGTTGATCTCCAATTAATAAATCAGTCAATCAGCCAACTAGTCAATCAGTCAGTCAATCAGGGGTTCAGTTAGAACAAAAGGTTTCGTAGTTACATGGATATAGGATTTATAGCACAAAGTAGCAGTCTATGCTATACATAATCATGATTGATTGATTGATTGATTGTCAGCAGGACCTAAGAAGACAGAAGGTCTGTCAAAATGTTTCGAATTTAGATGGACATTAGATTTATGTATGGTAAACAGGACAAATTAGCATTCTATTCTATATAGTTGTATTTCTACTCAGGATTAATTGATTTATTGATTGATTGATTGTAAGCAGATCCTAGGAAGACCTGACTAATCAGGCGGTCAGTTAGGACAAAATAGGTATGATGGGCATACGATTTATGTATGGTAAATAGTAGCATTTTATGCTATATATTTTTATATCTAATCAGGATTGATTGATTGATTGATTGTAAGCAGATCATAGGAAGACCTGAGCTTTTTTGTCATTTTTTTTTTTTTTCATTTTATCCATAATCCATTGCACAATTACTTACAAAATAGGCTCGCGCCGACTCCTGATGTTATAGCTGCGACTTGGCCGGCGCCACGCTGAGGCCATAAAAGTCCGCCAATCGCTTGGCCTCGCGCCAACCGGCCTCCACGGCACCGTGGACCGTTGAGTAGTAATGTTCGCTGCTGGCCTCGCCGGCGAATTGGACAATTGGCTTGTCACAGCGGCTCTGCGGCGGCACCAGCATTTTGCTGCGTCCCGGCGAAGGCGGCGTCATGGCAACCACCGTCAATGGCTGGGCCAGATCGCTGGCGCCGGTGCCCAGGCGTTCCGTGTCCATGGAGCGAAAGGAATAGGAGCCACGGAAATACGGATTTGTGTACCAGGCGGAGCTGCGAAAGCCGAGCGGCTCTGGTATGTGCCAGTGTAGAAAGCGCCGGAAGAGATACATGCAGCCGGCAAGTACCTCAGCCGGCTGCAGTGACTCCATGTGCCGGCCATTGGCATTTATGATCCAGCCGGCGAGGACGCGTGGCTGATAGCTGACGCGATAGAAGCCAAAGACATCCTCCAGCCAGGCAAGCGGCGTATTGCGTATATCGGCCAGATCCTGCTGACGCCACAACAGCGTAAAGCCCGTCCAATCCTCGGGCCAAAAGGCCGCCGGAAACTCAACAAACAGCTTGTTGACGGTGCCAAAGGCCAATCCCTGGATAGCACGTTGCTTGGCCACCGGCAGCTGCGGCTCAAACAGCTGCAAATGCTGCTCCTTAAGGACGCCCAGCGAAACGGTGACTATAACATGATCTGCCACGCAGGATTCACCGTTGTTCAGCTGCAGCTCGACCCGAGCATCATTGCGATTCCAATTGATTTTGGTGACGCGCCGATTGAAGAGCACCCGCTGCTCGAGGATGCCCAGATCCGAGCTCGTCTGCAGCTCGCGACTGCGCGTTAGCAGACGCAACAGCTCGACAAAGCCCTTGTCCTTCCAGTTAAGCAGAATGTCGCCCTCGCACTCCCAATAGTCTAGATATCCGCGCCCCGACACCTCCTCCAGGGTGTCGGATGCCTCCACAGAGTTCTCGAATTTCTGATAATTATCAAAGAACTCGCCCGCAACGACCGGATCAATGTCGGCATTCTCCGGCCGGCGCAGCATCTCGTAGAACTTGCTCGACAGATAGCTGCCCAGCGAGCCGCTGCAGTGCTGCAGCTCCAGCTGCCGTGTGACCAGCGAGTCACCCACAATCGCCTTCAGCCGGCTGGCGACGTTGTCCGGCAAGACTTCGCGATTGCTGCGCACACACTGATAGTTCTCGTAGACGGGTCCCGTGGACTCGAGCAGATCGTGCTGGCTGGCCAGCTCGTAGACAATGTTATCCTGCTCGCCGTGGCACCATTGGGCGCCCAGATCGATCACATTCTCGCCAAAGGGTATCGTATGTATGCGACCGCCCAGACGCGACTCGGCCTCAACGATCAGCACATTCTGGAAGCCATATTCCAGGAGCTTGGTGGCGCAGGCAACACCCGACGCTCCGGCGCCGATGATAACGATTTTGTGATCCCGATGCGATTTGCTCATAGCGTTCTATATACGTAGATCGTCCACAACTGCAAACAGAATGGATCCGAGAGGTGATAACAAGTCTCAAGTAAACTAGAGGGGGGCAGAGCAGAGCGCGGGGCTGGGCGAACAATCAGTGTATGAACGATTGTGATTTATTACAATTAAATGAGATTATAAAATGGGAATGGAATGGGATAAATTCAAAATTTAACTCAACGCGTAACCTACATAGCCAGGCGAGCAGGTTGACCAAAAACCCGTCTTACCGTGCTCCTGAATCACCTGAAATAGCTAAAGTATCCTAGCTCGCATCGGGCAGTGCAATTATCATCAATCAGTCAATCAACTGGCCAGTTAGTCAGTCATTTGGTCAGACAGCCAATTAGACAGTTAATCAGCCATCATTCAGTCAATCTTTCAATCAGTCAGACGCTTACACATTCAGTCATCCAGCCAATTAGTCATTCAGTCAATTAGTTGGTCATCAATCATTCAACTTATTACACAATTAATCAGTGATCCTTCAGTCAATCTATCAATCAGGCGATCAAACATTCAGTTATCCACTCAATCAGTCATTCATTTAACCAGTTAATTAGTCAATAAGTCAGTCAATCAGTCTATCGGTTAGTGACTCAATCAGTCATTCAGTCAGTCATTTCCTATCAGTCAGTCATTCAGGATAAACAGAAAATAAATACATATAGAGATGTCTGCACATGAAATAAGATCGGCCAAAAGCCAAGCGGCGGCCGTGAGAACGTCGCTCGCCCAAATATGCAGGGTATGCAGTTCGGCCTAACTGACGTAAGCACTGAAGACCGATTTTCTTCAATTTCTTACGGTGGCAAACGAATACTTGAAAGCATTTTGTTGTAATTTCATATTTTTGGTATATTATAAACAAAATAAAATTATTAAACTACTTTTTTTCGTTAGTAAATCTTCAAAAACATTTAAAATTTGGAATTTCTTAAAGTTTGTCAATTAATTTGGAGCTGTACTCAAACAATAGAAATTGTAAATTAATTTCTGGAATCCAAACAAAAACATTAAACGAAATTTGGATAGATTTTAAAAATAAAAGGGCATAAAATTATTTTCAAAAAGCCAACTAACGGCATCGAAATATATACATATATGTAAAAATACATGAACAAATGTGATGAGCAGAGAAAAACATTATTAGGAATAATGTGAAACAGGCGTTACAAACATTCTCGCGAATCCATAATACCCTGTTGCGTGAATTATAATGAATAGCCGGCATAACGGTAATTGTATATGTATGTTGTTGTTGGTTTGTTTTTCTGTTTTGTCTGTGCTTGCGTGTACTGTAGAAGGGACGGACGGGACGAGGGGAACCATTGCAGCACAGACACGTGCGCAGACACAAATGCCATTTAACGCGAATTCCGTCTGCTCACTTGCTTATGCAGCTGCTTTTGCAATAGTATTAGTTACATGGAAAAAGTACTTACGAAAATAAAAATAAAAACAGACTATAGGTGGCGCGGTGACAAATTGCATTAGAAAACAGCTGAAACAAATTACATTTGCATTTATACGAAATTCGTAACGGTGTTTGCTGATAAGAAGAAACGCGCGCACTGCGTCAAGCTCTGATAACGGAACTCGCTTAAAGTGAGAAAGAGAGCGCGCGCAATCACACAGATAGACAAACGGACCGATACACGCACACAAAGAGTTCAGCCTGCATTTATTAATAGCCAATAGAGTGGGACGAGTGTTCAGTGGATAAACGGTACACAGGCAATTTCTTAGCTATGCAATTTGCTTGGCCAGCCTGGACCAGCCAGTTTTCTAGCTGGCAACCCCAGCGGCACGCTTATACAATGCCCACTTACTGCACATGCAATGGATGGCTCCGGTTGCCAGAAAGAGAACGTAGCATTGATTTTATTTGTAATATTTGACAGTGACCAAACACTTTTCAAGGTTCAAGCGCAGTGCATAAAATTATAAAAAAAAACACAGCACTGCACACATTTTGCACATATGTACATACACATACATATATACACACACAGGCATACGCATGGTTCTGCATGTATGTATATATGTAGCGGCACAAAAAGCTCCCCTAACTCCACTCCCTGTGCTCTGCTAGCCTTGTCTCACTTACCGAAAATAATTGTTTTTCGTTTATTTTATTACTATTGATTATGATAATATTAATATTATTAATTCACTGCACTTTAAACACACATAAATACGATTATAAAATATTGTTGCTACTGCTGCGGTCTGCCGTGGACACAGACACAAACAAAACTGAAAATCATATGGAAACGTGCTGCTCTACAATACTTATGCTGCGCCAGTGGCGTACCATGTCGCCCCACCCAAGCTACACATGGCTGGCCAAAGTTTCAGCTACGCCTCTGCATATGCTGAGAGCTTTCACCGTACGAAAGCTCCCAGCGAGAGCGCGCCAAGGCACGCGACAGCTGACCGGCGTATGAATGAGCTGTTGCGCTGTGAGTGCGTGTGTGTGTGTGTGTATGTGTGAGGGGGGGGGGAGGTGTTGGTTAGTTTTATAAGTAGAATGTCTTATACTGAGTATACGTTGCAGATGTTTAGAAGTAGCTCTTGCTGTTGTTTTACCACAGCTTGTCGCTGAACACGATCTCCTTGAAGATGCAATCCTGTTTGGCAATGCTGACCATGGCCTTCTTGGATTTCATCGCATCCTGCACCTTCTCGCGCACCTCGGCCGCCTTCACATCGTTGCGTATGTAGAAGAGACGCACCAGATGATCCTCGCTCAACGACGGATAGCTGCCCAGCAGCGTATGCAAATCCAGCGCAAGCAATTCAATATCCGCGACAAGGAGCGCCGACAGCGTGGTTATCAAATCCAACGGCGAATCGCTGAGCGAGATCTTGGGCGCAATCTTCTCAAAGAACTGTTTAATGCGCTTCGCCTCCAGATTGATTTTGCGCGTAATCGCATCGCATTCGCTGCGCGTCTTGGACAGCCGCTTGGAGAGCAGCGCTCGAATGTAGCGCTTGGCCAGCAGCTTCTGGGCCTCATTAATGACCATCTCAAAGTTGGCGGGCAGCAGATGATTATAGTCTTGGAAGTAATCGTCCAATGTCACACAGATCGTGTCCACGGCAATGCTGCTGCCGAGCCACTTGACCGTGAATAGATCATTGAAATGGCATTCCATGTCCAGGAAGGCCTCCTCCAGCAAATAGTTGGCGGCATGTGCGCGTATGCGCTGGAATGTGGCCAACAGTTTCTCAAAGTCCTCATAGTGTTCCGTGCGGGATTTGGGCCAGAACAGATGCTTCATCTGTTGCGCCATCTCGACCACGTTCTGGCTATTGTTCACAATGGTTATGATATAATGCGTAAAGTATTTGATCTGGTCGCGATTGCGAAAATGATGCTCCTTCAGCTCGATCACGTTCTTCAGATACGTTTGGCCAAACAGCTCCACCTGCTGTATGCTGAGCACCAGAGCCTTAAACGTGAGCTCCTGGTGTATGGTATTGGTCACCTGCAGATGCTGATCGATCATCTCGAATATGATCACAGGGCCCGCACTGTTGTAATAATGATCCCGCTGATCGGGCAGCATTTCGGAGTACCACTCCTGCTTCTCCGAGTCGACGGTCTTCTTCATCCAATCCTGATAGTTGCGCTCCATATTCTGCAGATACTCATCCTCCAGAGATTTCAGATGCTCCGGATGGAGCAGTGGCCGCGAGAGCTTCAGCACATCCACATTAAGATCCGCATGGGACATCAGATCGGCGCCGGGATACGTGTGCATAACCCAGGCCAGCATCGAGACATACTCGTTACCCTGCAGGCCCGACTTCACAATGTTGTCCAGCTGCAGGTGGAAGGCAAAAAGGTTAAGTTAAGCTAAAGTGGAAGAAAGTGGAGCACGTTACTCACGTAGCTGGAGAGGCCCTCGTGGTAGAAGCGGACATACTCGTTGAAGATGTCGTAGTGCGGCGGGAAGCAGGGCACGCACAGCGACTTGACCACACGCAAGTCCTCCAGGATGATTTGACGCAATATCTCTAAATCTCGCACCAGCCACAGCTTGTTGTCCGCACGCTCCTCCAGCTTGGAGCCCTCGATGCGCGTTATCACAGCCGCCTGCAGCACGTCCATAATCATTTTGCGCCACGCCTTTGGCCGGCCTGGTGGCAGGAAATTCGTGACCTTCTGCTGCTGCAGGGCAAACTGATCGTTCTTCTCCTCGCGCTCGATGATGCGCAGCGCCGTAACAATGACCGTGGGCTTCTTGCGCACGGTGTTCAGCGTGCGGCTGATGATCAGGCGGAGTTTCTTCTCCAGCGCCTGTGAGACCTGATCCACCTTCTCGAAGTGCCGCTTGAGCGTTATCTTGTCGGAGGCATGCTGTTTCGGCTGTTTGTGCAGCTCGTAGAGCAGATCATCGCGCGAGTTCTCCAGATCCGCCAGGCACTGATGCGCATTCAGCAGCTTGTCCTCGTCGATCAGGGCCATTGTTTTCTGGACGCTGGCATCCACATTGAAAATGTGCTTGAGGTTCTCCATGGCCGTTGCGTATTGCGAGTGCTTCGTGTTCTCCTCGCGCACCACCTCGAGCGCATCGTAAATCTCGGGCACGCCCACTAGCAGACGCTCCACCTCGACCATGCGACGACGCACCTCGCGCACATCCTGCATGCACGTCACCAGCTGCTTCAGGCCGACACGCACGCCCTCTAGCTGGTTCTGCATGCCCGTCTTCAGCAACGCCTCCACGGATGCTTTTTTCCGTGCGATTCGATGACGATACTGCTCCACTTTTTCCAGCTGCCCGGGACGCTGCAGCATGTTTTGTATGTCCTTGAGCGCTGCTTGGTGCGCCTCCTCTTCCAATTGTTGCAAATCCATTGTTTAAATTTATCTTACTTTTAAATTGTGATTAATTTTCGTTTTTGTTTTGGAAAAAATCTAAATTACCGATAACAGCGCAATAACATAGGTAGAACAGCTGTTTGTTGTGGTAAGTATATCGATAGTTGGCAACTGTTGATAGGCAGCACTGGCCAATGTTAATAGCCGGCAATAACAATTGCAGCCGTTACAAATAATGTATGCAGTCGGCTCTTGCATTTGTAGAGTTACGATCTGTGGACAGAGGCGTTTTGCCGAGAGTTTGCTTAATGCTTAAGAGAACATAAAATAATGACAGACAGCATCTCCAGCAGCCGCTGCAGCTCTTGGGACTGTTTAATATAGCCTCAATCGATATATCGATATCGATACTTATCGATACAGCGAGCTTACATCTCCAGCCTCGCAATATAAAAAAGTGAAGAAACTTAGTTTCGGACATTGGCGACCTGTCTTCCACGAACAGGCCAATATTCCTCTTAAACAGTAACGTAATATCCAAAAAATTAGAATTATGTTTGCTTTGGCAAAAGTTTTCGTTGAACAATATGAGTTATTTGCATTTAATGAACCTTACAAAAACGAACTGGAAATAATCAAAGTTTGGCACACAATGCCTGCAGCGAAACTTCGACGTTTTAAGGAACTGACCGAATTCGTGCTGCAGGATCTGGACGAGCCCACCAATGTAGCCAGTCGCGCCAAGCACTCGCGCTCGCTGCGGGAGCAGGGCAACCAGGTCTACAAAACTAAGTCCAAAAAAAGTGGCAACGACTTGACGGAGTGTCTGCTCAGTGCCAGTCGCCTCTATACGCAGGCTATTCTCGAGGCGGAGAATGCCTACGAGGAGCTGTGCTTGGGCTTCGCCAATCGCGCCATGGCACTGCAGGACTTTGGCTATTACGAGCAGGCCTATGATGATTGCGAGTGTGCCCTGGAGTTTGGGTATCCCAAGAATATGCAGCATAAGCTGATCATGCGGCAGGCCTATTGTGCCTGGAAGCTGGGCGATGCCCAGAAGCTGGGCGAGCACGTAGCCTGCCTGGAGCAGCTGGAGCTAAATGCCAGCTTTACCCAGCAATTGGAGCAGCTGCAGCAGGAGCTGCAACTGCTGCAAAGCAATCCGCAAGCGGAGGAAGTGAAGGAAGCGAAGCTGGACGAAGTGAAGCGAAACAATACTGAAATGTAAATTTTGGATTTTTGTGCCATTAATCCCATTAACCCACTAACCTTATGCCAAATTGCAGCTCAACGGACGCAGGCGGCAGGGGACGCTACATGATTGCCTCGCAGCGTATTAAGGAGGGCGAGATTGTATTCACGGAACAGGCCGAATGCTTTGTACCGACCCAGGGTCGTCTGATTTGCCAGCAGTGCGCTGCGAGTCTGCTGTGCGCCCCCATACCCTGTACGCGGTGCCATCAGCGCGTGGTCTACTGTTCGCGCCGCTGTCGCCAGCTGCACGCGACCATCCACGGCTACGAGTGTGAGGCGTATCGCAGGGATTTGCTGCTCCCGATTGGACCTTTTCATTTGGCTCTGCGCCTGGTGCTCACCTATATGCCGCAGTGGCTGCCGCAGCTTCGCAACGGCGGCTCGACAGCGGCAGAACTGTGGCAAACTCTGATATCCATCGCCTCCGCCGAGCACCATTGGCCAACTGCACCGCAGCATACGCAGTCCCTGTGCATGATGCATCATCTGGACAAGGCGGACGCCTCGAAGCTGATATATTGCGTGCTCTCCGCCAACCAATTGCAGGTTTATCTGTATAAGTGCACCAATTTCTATGATCAGCTGCTCGCCAGCACAGCTGCCTCGGCCGAGGATTGGCATTTGCTGCTGGCCGCGCTGATAGCGCGCACCAACAATCAATTGCTGAACAATGCCCATGTGGGCGATGCCATTCTGCCCCGCGATCTGGGCTTCAATGAGTTTGTGCTGCTCCGGCCGCAGCTCTGGCGCGCACCATTCCGTCTGCGCTTGGGCTGCCTGCACAAGTTCGACAGGACAACACTTGTCAAGTCTCTCAATTTGCCGTACTATGGCCTGTGCAATCATGCCTGTGAGCCCAGCCTGCGCAGCTGGTACGATGGCCGTTCGGTGAGCAGCTATGCGGCGCGGAACATTGAGCCCGGCGAGGAGATCTTCAATTGCTACACCTTGAACTACAAGATGTCCAGCTTTGCCAAACGCAAGGAGCAGCTGGAGCAGACCTTCAACTTTCAGTGTAGCTGCAGCAAGTGTGTCCGTGCCGAGCCTGATCAGGATTACGTGGGTTAACCTATCACAGCTACGCTCTATTTTTGGCATCTCATCTCATTTGTTTTCCCTACTCTCGAAGTTTGCTTTTCATCGCTATCGCTGCCAACACTGCGAGCAGATCTTTGTGCCTGCCCAGCTGGCGGAGCTCAGCTGGTGGCAGGAGCCCGAACCGCCACAAATTTGCTGCACAGTATGTCAGGCGCCCCAAGATTTCAGCTGGCATGAGGAATTTCTAGTGTTATGCGCATGCTGTGATAAACCGAATGCGCGTCACGAGGCGTACAAAGTGCTCGATTATCTCAGAAATTGGCTGCTCGACTATCATAGTCTCAGGCAATGCTTGGCCAAAAAGCTAATCCTGGCCTGCCTAACAGCCAAAGCAGGTGAGTGGAACACAAGCAGCATGTGGACTCTCCTGGTTATCCAGGTCGTCGTATCGCCCTTGCTACCTTGCGAGAGTTTGTGATTTATTATAATCCTCTCGCTTTCCCGACAGCCGGACATCCGTTCGAGGACACAGAATTTGGCCATTTGGGGCGCATTATGGAATACGTGCTGGCGGGAACTGAGGCGCAGATTGGCAGCAACGCGGTTGAGTACATACCCATAATGGGCTGCCTGTTCGATCTGATTGCCTGGGGCAAATACAAGTGCAGCAAGCAGAGGCTGGCCAAGATGCGGGCCAAGCTCGATTATCTGGCCGGCGAAACGCGACGGATATTTGTCAACTATTACAACGATTTTATTGAGCCGCATTGCAAGTGACAATAATAAATTCACTTGCTAACAATTTATAATTATAAATTCTCTAGATTCAAGCTAAAAACAACAACAATAAACACTGGCACTTTGTTTCTGGCATCAACTAAGACTAAGACTACGTTCGAGAGAGCTGATTTAAATCGAATGCCCCTTGATTTAGATAAAGTGTGAGGCATATTCGTGCGGCATGACGCCGCGTCGCGGATAGAACGTGTGCGCCGTCGAAAACTTGAGCAAATTCGTTATGTCGCTGGTGTAGATGTCTGCGAATCGGAACAGACGCCGCGAGAAGTACGTGGGATTGTGATACGTGCGAAAAACGCTGCCGAACTGTTCGTTGAACACGTTCTTTGTCTTGTTGCTGCAATGCAAAATATATATGTTATAATATCTATTTAGATTATATCTTAGCTGCAAACCCACCGCAATTGATCACGCTCCTCCATCCAGTCACGCAGGCAGACCTGCGCAGCCTCGCTCTCCTCATCCTGCGTGTCCTCAATCAGCTGTGTGAGCATCTGCAACCAATTGGCGCTCATCTTAAAGTCCACGCGATTCAATGTCTTGATCTCATGCTGCAATTACATTGAGAATTGATTTATAGAGTACACAATTTGAATATGATTTCAAAAATAAATACGCACGGCCAGCTCGCTGATGATGGCGCCCGTGCGCCAGCTGTGCTTTAGGGTCACATCTGCCAGATCGCTGTAGGGATGATCGCCAAAGTAGAGCACCGAATGACCGCGCCAGCCTTTCAGCTCCTGCAGCTGCCGCACCGAGCCCTGCGAATAATGGGAAATTTATATAATATTAGGTAATGCGCTTCGCTACTGATACTGGCTATATAATCATTACTAATGCATAGGCTTATGACTAATATATTATGATGTATGACTCATGCATTATTTCTTATTATCTAAATTAATAATATAAAGTAATACGCTTCGATAACTGAGAGTTATCCACACAAAAACTAATCATTTGACTGATTCTGGCTATATAATCATTGCTAATGCATAGGCTTATGACTAATATATTATGATGTATGACTAATACATTATTTCTTATTATCTTAATTAATAATATAAAGTAATACGCTTCGATAACTAGAAGAGTTATCCATCCAAAAACTAATCATTTGACTTTTCTAACCATATAGATCTATATGCTATTATAATTAGACTTGCGATCGCCTAATGTATTAATTATTATTACTAATGTATTTTTTATTAATATTTAATTTAAATAATAAAAAGTAATACGCCTCGATAAGACTTGCAGATGTGTGTTGCGGCTAACTGTAAGAAATATTTATAAAAAAAAAACTAATTATCATACTAATTCTGGCTAAACAATTAACTGGCGACTGCCTAATGTATTATTTACATTGCTAACAATTGATTTTACAGCTGTGTTAAGTGTTTTACAGCTGTGCAAATACACGGAAATTGTGCTACCTCGTAATAGATTTTGCCTTTTTCCAGCTTAAACACGCGATCCCATAGATGCGAACTAGTTTTCTCATCGTACAGCCGTATGGGCCGTGATTCATCCGTAAAGAATTTTGGTTTCCGCGCCTGCACAATGACCACATCGAAGAAATCTCGCCAATTGGCGCCCACCAGATAGGACATGCCGCAATTGCTATTGGAAAAAACAATATTATATTCGGACTAGCCACATGATGTTTCTTGGATCCGCCACTTACACGAACGAAAAGGGACTGTTGGTCACCAAAAAGAGATTCTTGCCAGCCTGCTGAAGCTTCTGAAAATATTGGACAAGTCTTGAATTGCGTTCGATGTACTTTTCCGTGTTCTTCATGACGGTGGCATGCATTATGGGATGACAGGAGCCCATCGCGGTGCGCGTGTCATGGAACACAATCTCCGGATGGTAATCGATGCGATTGCGTTCAAAATATTCGATAACATTGCACAGCAGGCACATTTCGGGCACTGAGAACAGATCCGCCAATTGCACCATTTTCGAGTTCGTATTATGCTGTGCGGCAACAGAAATCGAGAGATTATAAACCAACTTTGCTTGAGTCAATGAAATACCCACCCTATAGCTATTGTTGGGTCCCTCCACGTAGGCGATGGGCAGCAAACGATTGTGATAGAGCTTCAGGACCTCCTCGGCGTCCACCTTGGTGCGTCCACGGTAGACGGAGCCGAGCTGTAGCTGCAGAAACGAGTCCAGCTTGACGAGCAGACCCTTCTCCACATCGTAGTGCAGGCCACGCACAGCAAAATTCGGCTCATATTCCAGATCTAGAATGTCGTCCGGATATCTAAAACGCTTGACCAGCATTTCACGTGCCAAATTGTACAGCAAGTCCTCCAATATGGGCTTGTAGCAGGCGAGTGTATAGTCATAGTCGAAGCCATACACCTGCACCTCGCTGAGGTCGAGCTCATTGCACGCAAACACAGCGTCTGGATGCACATCAACGGGCAGCTTTTTGGCTAAAATATGAAGATCACAGAGAGAGCTTTTTAATGATCTTCTTGGAATTTAAATAGACTAATCGTGGAGTCTAAATGGAGTGCCTGATAATCGTAAGGCTTACATTGAAATTTCTTTTTTGTTGCTTCGTAGAGCTCTTGGAAATCACTCACAGTTTTTCGGCCCCCCAATTTGGATTTGATAAGAGCGTGGCGGGACGTAACGGCTGCTCCGGTATCATGGCTGCTGGTGTTCAGATAGCGTGGCCTGCGCCTGGCTGTGCTGCACGTGACTTGGCCCAACAGCACATTATGTTTAAATATAGCATCGACAATTGGTCTACGCGCTGCACACATTTAACTTGATTGCTTGATTTAACTGTTGTGTGGGCTGCATAAAGTGGTCGGTGTTATGTACACTCGCAGGCTGTGCGAGCGGGCTCAACACGAGCAGACTGCATGATGGTAAATTGAAGTGTGTTGCTAGGGTGTGCAGAGCGGTTTTAACGCGCAGCGGCAGCTTAATTCTTGCAAACAGCATGCTCCACTTGAAATAAAATTGAAGTTTACATTTAATAATTAAACTTAATTGATCGTTAATTAATATATGCAACAGCTGTTTGCTCGTGTGCAAAGTTGTGCAACACTGCGGTTATCTCGTGCCTGTGCCATATCGATAGCAGCATGGCAGCGATGTTTCCTGTCCATCTCTAATTGTGGAACAGACACGAACAAAATGAAAGCGATCGAATAGCGATTAAATTAATCCAAATTAAGCGTAAAAAGAAAAACAATTTAAATTTCGACATTAATTAACCAACTTGGGCAGTACACAGGAAATTTTCAGTGTTTTTTCAAGCGACAAAACCGTGGGTAAAACTAGCTGCATTAACGAATCAAAGTCAATTTCTTTGTGCCCAGTGCATGTGTGTGCGTGTGTGTACGTACGTGCGATTCATTCATTTCCATTACGTGTGTGCTGGCAAAATTTGGACGGAATAAAAGTTACCCAAATAGCAGCAACAGCTCTTCGATGACTTGTGCAATTTTGTTGTTGTCTAAATTGTCAAAATAGATGCGAGCAATGTAGAGCTGCTGCTGGCCCCTACGAAGGGGGGCCTCAGCCAAGTGCCATGAAATAGGAAAACATTTATTTTAAACATATTTAAAAGAACGTGATATACTAAATATATTGATATTTGCGGCGCAATATTAAAAGCGAAAAAACGCATCACAATTTGCGTTTACGTCTGAAGAAGAAGCAACAAATACGTCAAGCACAAATACCAATACAAAGACAATTTAAACGTATTGGTAAATGCGTATGTGAAGGTACATAATATACGTATGAAAAGTATTTGCGACAAATTTCGGCGTTATCAACACCAACACCACCCACCAGAAGCGCACAGTCGTTAGAAACAGCGAAACGTAGAGTAACCAAAAAAAAAAAAAAAAAAAAAAAACAATAATAATAAAAAAGAAACGAAAAGAAAAAGCTCACCGAACACAGAACCAACTAATTTGATACGTAGAATTATGAACGTAGAGAACCAATTGAAGACGCCGCTAACGCAGATTCGTAATTTGGTCAAACACGTGAACAAGCGAAATTTTAATGAGAGCAGCGAGCAAATAAAGCAGGTATGTTTCACATTTAACCTTGTTTTTAAAATACATAACCAAATAATAATAACAACAACAACAACAGAATATCAGCAATTCCAATAGCAATGAAACTACAATGAGTGTTGACAAATTTTGCACATATCGGCATAAGCCAACACACACAGTGCTGCCAACTTAATAGCACAGCGGCTATATTGCCATTTCGCTCGCACATGCATTTTCGCCGACGCCATTACAGTTTGTGTAAAAGCAGAAAATTTCTCTGCCTTGCGCGAGTTTCTTGTAAAAAATTGCCTTTCTTGTTAAGTTGCTAGTTATTTAGAATGTATAAAACTAGCCTAATTACAAACAATAAGCATTGCACGCCGCTGTTGCGTGCCACCTAGTGTAATATCTCTAGTAAAATTGTGCAAAAAAAAAAAAACTTAAAAAGAGCGTACAAAGTTTTCTGCCAGCTGCGCTGCCGCCAGCCCTTGAAGTTCAGTGTACGGACTTTACAGTCTGCCTTTTTGCATTTTATATTGTGTGCACAATAATTTGCAAATAAGTGTGCAATAATTTTGGATATCGGTAAGGAGTTGCATATTTTGCGATATTACTTTCATATTAAATGCGCATATAAAATTTTCATTTGACTACCAACACCAATACATGAGCATACATATAGCCCTCTTACCTTCATGCTCACCCCTTGCGGTGTGTGTGTGTGTGTGTGTAGGCCTAAAATTCCCAAGTTGAGCGAGGAGTACTCTGTATGTCATTTTTTTTTTTTTTGCCGTTTTGCATTTTGTTGTGGAGCAGCTGCGCGGCCACAGCTGTTGTTGTCTCGCTTCTGCGTATACTCGATTGAGTTTCACATTTGAGTTTCTGTTTTTGCAGTGTGTGATGAGAGAGCCTTAAAAAAAAAAATACAAAAAAAAAAAAATAAGGCTTTTCGGATTTAGTTGTAGTTTTTTGGGGGGTTTTTATTCAGATATTTAGTGATCGTTGTGGAGCTAGCTACGCTTCACATTTCTCTTTGTGACTTGTCAAAATTTCAAAGTGTGCAATGAAAATCGAAGAAAAAGAAGATAATTATAAATAGTTGCATCAATTATTATTCAGTTAATTGTGTGACCGCTTTTGATGAATTGCTCATGTGTTATCGATCTCTAACTTCTGCTGCCCGGGCAAGGCAACATGCTCAGGTAATCGTCTGAGCGACTCTGTATTAATCGCCTTCAACTTCTGCTCTCTCTCTCTCTCTCCATCTCTGGCTCTCTCTTTCCATTTCTTTTTTGTTGTCCATTGTGACCTCGTTTGCAGTTTATCCAAGATTACGGCCTCGAAGCGGATCGTAGCTGTCTGCGATATCTGTTCACGGTACTTAACTTGAACGATCCGGCACCGAACGTCACCGCGCAGCTGCAGGCGAAGCTTCTCGGCGCGCACTTGCAGCGGCAACTGCAGTGCTCCTCGTTTGTGACCAACATATGCCTCGCCTTCGACCAGCATTTTGCCAAGCATAAGGTGCGTCCAAACAAATCCAAACACAGCAACAATAACTATTCCATGTTTTCCACAGAGTCTGAAGCCATTAGCACTTGCCGATCTCGTTGGACAGGTGGCCAAGCTAACTGGCATTAACAAACTTTGCGAGTGCATCTTTGCGCTAGCGGTGACCCACAGCTCCCATCCGGAGCTACGCCAGAGCGCACGTGAGAATCTGCGCGGCTCGCTGCCCGATCTGCTCGATTCATATCTGGGCCAAAATTCAGCTGCCGCAACTGCAGCTGCGAGTGGTCTGCACGAGATCTCCTTTGATCTGTTGCAGTATTTGTTGTGCTGCCTGAGTGAGTACGTGAGCCCGCAGCTGGAGGCACAGTTTTTGAATAAGCTGCGCGAGGAGTTTCCGCGTGAGGCGGTGCCATTGGTTCTAGCCCCGCTTTTGTACCGTAGCCCAACGACGGCGACGACGACGACGGCGACGGCAGCCAAATCGAACGAACCAACTGATGCAGAGGAGGAAACGACGAACACGAACACGACGAACACCAGCAGCTGGAGCAGCTCAAATGCAGATAATCTGAATGAAGTTGGCATTGAGGATATCTATGACCATTTATGCGAGATAATATTTACAAATCAGGTGTGTGCACAATTTATCTGCCGCCTCTTTTTTACAAACAATTTTACAATCGACTCTCACACATATTGCAGGGCAAAAATAATATTATGGACACATCTTGGATTAATTTAATCCTTGAAATCGGTTATGAATTTACATCGAGCGTTGAAGATTGCAAAAATCATTTGTGTTGCGGCGCTGGCGGCTCCCGAGAACTGCAGCCCAAAGATGTTGCCAAAATTGTTGGACTCATGTGCCGCCGGCACTCGTCGCTGCTCGATTGCAATGTAAATCTACCGACACCGGCGAATTTCTGGCCCGGACAGGGACAACAGGCTGCTGGCAGCAGCAGCTCCAACGCTTCACAAACCGCACAACAGAATTCTAGCAGCAACAACAACAACGATGGCAGCAGCGAAACCAGCAGCGCTGCCAGCGAGAAGAAGGACAAAAAGGATACAACAGACGCAACACAAACATGGAAGCCGGATGTGTTTGTACAGGCGCTCAAGGAGCTGGTGCCGCAGCTCAACTGGAAGGAGGTCTGCATGGGTAAGTGCCACAAGCAAGACTATCTAATTGCTAAATAGTTGAGAATAGATGACTTTATTAGAGGAAGAGAAGACTCCAAGCAGAATAGTCTGTAATGCTTGTTATAGTCATCACATAGAACCCAAAACGGCTCATCTTAATCATTTCATTCATTCAAAATGGTTAAAAAGTATTTCAATCTGTTATGCAAAACTATGTAAAAGACAGCTCAAATTCGATGAAGTACATCAATTTGCCCTAGCCCTAGCTTCAATATGTTCGCAGGCGTAAACTTTCAACACTTTTTATTATGATTTCCGTCACATTTCATCTCAAATCGAATTTCGGCCATCGATTTTTTTTTACTATCTTTAGTTATTTGATATTTGCGTCATGTGTAATTGTTTGAAATTAATATTAGTTTTTTCGTCCTGGCTTAATGAAATTTTTTAATGAAATTGTAATACATTTTTGTTTTGTACATTAGTTCTTCAAATCAGACCATTTATACATATAACTGATATATATATATATATATATATGTACATGTATATATCTTCAAAATTTCGAAACATATTACAGAGCTCGATCATCCCGAGTTTGTGCTGAAGGATCGCATCGGCTTGGATCTGCTGCTAACCATCCTAAGATTGGCCACGCAATCGAATCTGTTTCCGCAACCGGAATGCATTTACCGCCATTGGGCTAACACCGAGGGTCAATTGTCGCTGATAACGACCATGCTGAAGAATCCGGATCTGTTCTCCTTTGCCGACTACGTGTTCAGTCAGCCGGCGTTGGATGTGCTGAAAACGCCGCCCGATGCTGAGAATAAGGAGATAGCTGCATGGAAATCGCTGCATCTGGTTGAGGTGTTGCTCTCTATTGCGGACAAGGGCTACTTTAGTCAGGTGCACGAGCTATTCAAATTTCCGGCACAAAATTGTCCCGATGTGCTGTTTCTGGCTCTGCTGCACATAAATCCGCCGTTGACACCATTGCGCCAGGATCTGTTCAATCAGCTAATACCCACGTTTCTGGGCAATCATCCCAATTCGAATGTGATATTGGCCAGCGCCTGGAGCTCCACCAATTTTCAACTGCGGCCGAGCATCATGAACGCCATGTCTGAGTGGTATTTGCGCGGCAACGAATTCGATCAGGGCAAATTGTCGCGCATTCTCGATGTTGCACAGGATCTGAAGGCGCTCTCCTCGCTGCTCAATGCTCGCTCGCATCTGTTTATCATCGATTTGGCCTGTCTGGCATCGCGCCGCGAGTACTTGAAGCTGGAGAAATGGCTGAGCGACAAGATACGCGACCATGGCGAGATCTTCATACAGGCCATGATCAAGGTGCTGCAACGCCGCTGTCCGCAGGTGACCAACTCGAAACTGCCCGAGGATCAGCTGCCGCCCAAGCAGGCGCAACTGTTGCCCGAAACCGTGACCACAATGATTAACTGCCTTCAAGCTTGCATCAATACTTGCATACAGCCGGAGACGGCCGAAATGATTATGCAAATGGCCAGCAATGTGGCCATAATGGCTAGCAAGGCGCGCGCCGCACAGCAGCAGCAGCAGCAGCAACAACAACAACAACAACAGCAGCAGCAGCAACAACAGCAACAGGCTGGCGGTCCGCAGGGCCTGGTGCCGCCGCCGCCAAGTATTTTGCGTGGACATCGCGGCATGGATTTGCCAGGCGGCGGCATTGTGCCCGGCTCGGTGCCGCCACCGCCGCAGCCACAGCAACCCTTCTCGGGCAATCTGAATGCACAGCAAATGTTTGGACCGGGCGGCGGCATGGATCCGCTGACCAACATGTCCAACAATCTGGCGGGCCTCAATCTGGGCGGTCCCAATGGAGCTTTCAACTTTGGCAACATGCTGAGTAAGTATCTAAAGGGGAAACGAATCTGAGCGAGAATCTGCAGTGGGCTGTGCCTATTTGCTTTTGTTGTTTGTGTATTCTATTTTTGCCTGTCTTTATGAACGGCTACAGATAACTTGGTTTCTACTCCAGCATCTCCGTCGCGCCTCATGAATCCCGGCGCCAACCCCTATCCGCCCATTCCAATACAAATCCCAGCGCCGCCGCCGCCAAATGTGGGCAATCTGGGCCGTATGCTGCCAGCTGGACCGCAACCAACGCCAACGCCACCGAATCCCAATAATCCGGTCATGGCCGATCTACAGATGCCCGTTTCCAAGGAGGTCGAGGATGAGGCGAACTCATACTTTCAGCGCATCTATAATCATCAGCCGAATCCGACACTGTCCATTGACGAGGTGCTCGACATACTGCAGCGCTTCAAGGAGTCCAGCCACCGGCGCGAACAGGAGGTCTTCCTTTGCATGCTGCGCAACCTGTTCGAGGAGTATCGCTTCTTCTCCCACTATCCGGAGAAGGAGCTGCAAATAACCGCTCAGCTCTTTGGCGGCATCATTGATCGCAATCTGGTGCCCACATTCGTGGCACTCGGGCTCTCGCTGCGCTGCGTTCTCGACGCACTGCGCAAACCGGAGGGCTCCAAGCTCTACTATTTTGGCGTGACGGCACTCGATCGCTTCAAGACACGCCTGCACACCTACAACAAATACTGCGAGCACATACGCTCCATACCGCATTTCAGCGACTTTCCGCAGCATCTCATCCAGTACGTGGAGTTCGGCATGCATGGTCAGGAGCCGCCGCCACAGAAACTGATCGGCCTAAGCAACACCATACCAACCTCGGCCATTGCCCAGGGCGCCACGGAGCCGCTGTACCGCGCCAACTCAATGCCCGGTAAGTTAACCATGATGCTGTCCTCCCAAGATCCAATCCATATATGTGAACAAAGCTTGGCAGGTCGATCAAAGTTTTTCTTAGTAGCCTAGGCTAGCCTCTTAGAGGCTGGCCGCCTTAGTCCGAGCATCCTGCTGGCTGTGTCTGAATTAATTCTAAAAGCCAAATTATAAATTTATAATTTATGACGGAACAGAGAATTGAAAACGCTCTAACATGGCCGAGGCGTTTGCCAAAGTTTTGATTCACGTATTTGCACGATTCTTTAAAAAATTTTCATTTAAAACTAATTGTCAATCCTCTTGCAGGCAATATGGCAGCTGCTCCGAATGTACAGAAGCAGCCCGTTGTAGTGTCGCATGCCACGCGTATGAAATCGATTGCAAATGCGACCAACATTGATACACTGCTCGTGGCCAAGCAGGAGGAGAAGGTGACGGTGCCCCCGGAGCCGGTGCAGGACAAGACGGCGTTCATATTCAACAATCTCAGCCAGTTGAATATACCGCAAAAATGCGAGGAGATCAAAGAGATCATGACCAAAGAGTATTGGCCCTGGCTGGCGCAATATCTTGTGCTGAAGCGCGCCTCGATGGAGTTTAACTTTCATACGCTCTACTACAATTTTCTGGATGCGCTCAAGAACGTGGAGATCAATCGGTATGTGACCAAGGAGACGCTGCGCAACATTAAGGTTCTGCTGCGCTCCGATAAGGGTGTCATCAATTTCTCGGATCGCAGCCTGCTCAAGAATCTCGGCCATTGGCTGGGCATGATGACGCTGGGTCGCAATCGGCCCATTTTACAGCTGGATCTTGACCTGAAGTCGCTGCTGGCCGAGGCCTATCACAAGGGCCAGCAGGAGCTGTTGTTTGTGGTGCCATTTGTGGCCAAAATATTGGAATCATCCGCTAAATCGCGCATTTTCAAATCTCCCAATCCCTGGACCATGGGCATTATGTATGTGCTCGGCGAGCTGCATCAGGAACCCGATCTCAAGCTGAACCTTAAGTTCGAAATCGAGGTGCTCTGCAAGACGCTCAATCTGGAACTGGAGAAGCTCAAACCTGTCATCTACCTGAAGGATCCAACACGGGCGCTGCTCATCGAACAGCAAATGTCACAGCCAAAGCCCAAGGTGGTCGAGCCGCCGCCCCAGCAGCAGCAGCAACATCAACAGCAGCAACAGCAACAGGCGCAGCAGCAACAACAACAGGCGCAACAGCAGCAACAACAACAACAACAACAACAGGCGCAGCAGCAGCAACAACAACCAGCACAGCCGCAGCCACCGTCAGCTGAGGTAGATCCGCAGGCGATGCTGATGAACAACAACAACAACTCGAATGCACCCGGTTCCGTTTCATCGCCCAACTTGCCCACAGATCCCAGCCAGGTTGTGCTGCCGCCGCCGGAGCCGCGTTACTCCTATGTCGAGGTGAATGTGAACAATTTCCAGTTGATTGCCCAGCAGCTGGTGTTGCCACCGAATATACCCTTCCTGCACGCCAATCCGGGCATCAAGCACATTGTGGTGAATGCCATTGAGCGCACAATTACCGACTGGCTGCAGCCGGTTGTAGATCGTAGCATACGCATTGCGTGCGCCACCACCGAACAGATTATACGCAAGGATTTCGCATTGGATGCGGACGAGAATCGCATGCGCACCGCCGCCCATCAGATGGTGCGCAATCTGGCCGCCGGCATGGCCATGATAACCGGCAAGGATGAGATCGCCCGGGCTATTAGCCAGAATCTGCACAAGGCCTTCATGGCTGCGCTGACGGGCGTGCAGAGCATGGCCGATATGCAGGCCGCCTCAATGCAGCTGGCCAATGAGAATGTGGAGCTCGTTTGTGCGTTCATACAGAAGACATCCGCTGAGAAGTCGGCGCTCGAGATCGATCGACGTTTGTCGACGGACTTTGAGACGAGGAAAATCGCACGCGAAGAGGGCAGCCGATTTGTCGATGCACAAATCTTGAGCTATCAGCAGGAGCGCCTGCCGGAGCCAGTGCGTCTCAAGGTGGGCCCAGCGCCGCCAACACTTTACGCCGTCTATTCGGAGTTTGCGCGCAGCATTCCCGGCTTCCAGCAGATGAGCGACCGGGACATCGCACTGTTTGTGCCCAAGCCGCAGGATATACAGCCGCCGAATGTGTTTGCCAACGATGAGAGCAGCATGGTCTATGCCGAGGTGGCCAACAAAATGGAAGCGTTCATGAACACCGCCATCAATGTGCCCACCCTTCAGCTGCAGGCCAGCAAGATGCACATGCTGCTAAACGCTCTGATGGCGACGCGTCGCCTGCGCGATCAGGAGTCGGCGTTCAATTTGCTGACCCGTGCCGTCGAGGGCCTGACAGAGGGTCTGATCAACGTGCAGGATCACATGGAACAAATGAAACTCTACCGGGACATACACTTGCGCATACTTAGCCTGCTGCACAACAGCTTCGGTGCACCCAACACCGAACGGGCGGTGACCAAATGCTTCTTTGATATACGCGAGGAGGTGCGCTACAATGTGGAGGCTGCACGCGCTCTCATCACATCGCATTTCGTCAATCTGAATCAGTTCGATGGCATGCTGCGCGACTGCATGGATAATGGCAACAATTATGTGGCCGTCTCCTTTGGCATTGCGCTTCTCGAGCGCCTCATCATGGAGGATCGGGCCATTAACATTGTCTCCGACAATGAGTTTATGGCCACCGTCGAGCTGCTCGGCCGGCTCACCCAGCAGCGTCATCGCTATCCCGAGTGCATTGTCAATGCCATCGAGACGCTCTGGTCTGGCAATCTGAATACCAGCGATTACGGCTCCTTCAATCCGGGTGAACGCTATCTGGCCGGCGCATCTCATTACATACACTCCGGCATGCATCATGTCAGGGTAAGATCGGGTTAATTGAAGTTAAGTTTGTGCTTTATTTAATTGGTTATTTTTATTCGCTTTACAGTCATGCGACACGGATGATCCGCCTGGCCTGCAGGAGAAGACCGAGTTCCTGCTCAAGGATTGGGTCGCGCTCTACACACAGCAGAATCAGCTAACGACACGCGATGCCCGCAATTTTGGCGCCTTTGTCCAGAAGATGAACACATACGGCATACTGAAGACGGATGATTTGATAACGCGCTTTTTCCGTCAGGCCACGCAAATCTGCACGGATGTCGTCTATCGCATGTTCGCCGACCCGAGCCTGCCCATTAACCAGGCCAAGAACAAGATATTCCAATGGATCGATGCGTTTGTCCATCTGATTGCCATGCTGGTGCGTCATTCGGGCGAGGCGGGCAATCCGACGACCAAGATCAATCTGCTCAACAAGGTGCTGGGCATTGTGCTGGGCACACTGCTCAAGGATCATGAGTTGCGCGGCGTTGGATTCCAACAGGTCGGCTACCATCGCTTCTTCATGATGCTCTTCATGGAGCTGTGCTCCGCCGACAGTACATTGGAATCGTTGATGCACAGCATCGTGTCGGCCTTTGCCTACACATATCATCTGCTCAATCCGAGCGTGGCGCCCGGTTTCTGTTTTGCCTGGCTGGAGCTAATCTCTCATCGCGTCTTCCTTGGCCGCATTCTGGTCCAGATACCCGGCCAGAAAGGCTGGCCCCTATACGCCCAGCTGTTGCAGGATCTCTTCAAATATCTCGCTCCATTCTTGCGCAACACCGAATTGGGCAAACCCGTCGGCCTCCTATACAAGGGCACACTGCGCGTCCTGCTCGTGCTCCTGCACGATTTCCCCGAGTTTCTGTGCGATTATCATTTCGGCTTCTGCGACACAATACCGCCGAATTGCGTTCAGATGCGCAACATTATATTGTCGGCGTTTCCGCGCAATATGCGGCTGCCCGATCCGTTTACGCCCAATCTAAAGGTGGACATGCTATCGGACAGCAGCAATGCGCCCAAGGTGTGCAGCAGCTATATCATGAACATACAGCCGCCCAATTTCAAGAAGGACCTCGACTCGTACTTGAAGGCGCGCGCCCCCGTCACATTCCTGTCGGAGCTGCGCGGCCATCTGCAGGTGACCACAGAGCCGGGCACGCGCTACAACATGACGCTCATGAATGCTCTGGTCATGTATGTGGGCACCCAGGCCATTGCATTGATCAGGTGAGATCAGCTCGTGTACAATTCACATTCCAGTTGGTTTGACTTTCTCTCTCTCCCTCCAGAAACAAGAACTTTGTGCCCAACACGTCGAACATTGCGCACAGCGCCCACATGGACATCTTCCAAAACTTGGCTGTGGATCTGGATACCGAGGGACGTTATCTGTTCCTCAATGCCATTGCCAATCAGCTGCGCTATCCGAACAGTCACACCCACTATTTCAGCTGTGCGGTATTGCATCTGTTCGCCGAGGCCAATTCAGAGGCCATACAGGAGCAGATTACACGCGTCCTGCTCGAGCGCTTGATTGTTAATCGTCCGCATCCGTGGGGCCTGCTGATCACATTCATTGAGCTGATCAAGAATCCCATTTACAAGTTCTGGGAACATGATTTCGTGCACTGTGCACCCGAGATAACCAAGTAAGTGAGCCCAGATAATCAATCTTTAAATGTAAATATATGTATATACATCAAGGCTGCAAACCGGATTCGTATCAAACCGAACCGGTTCGAGCACGTAATTCCCAGTTACTGATTACTACAAAGCAGCCGCATCTTAAACCGAAGCAAAGCTCTGACCCAGTAGAAATCTAATCTCATGGGGCATCTACTTCTGCCTTGATAGCGGTTTGGGCTGGATGGTAACGCACCCAAAGTATCGTTTGGCATGTTAATAGCTTACGTCTCCTGCCTTGGAAGCTCTTAGGTCTCTCTCGATGTTCCTACTACGCATATACCCAAAAGCATTCCATATGCTTCTTAGAATCTTGATTTTGTTGAGCCGGAATCTTGCTGCAATCCACGGGTTCTGTGACAGTGTCTATTAGGAGACTAGGATCGACCTGGTCATCACAGCCTTGTCATCTGCATACGTGAATCTATAAGAACATCTTTCCTATCCACAGCTGAGTAAATTGTGTAGAGAGTGAGACCAAGGGTCCTTACTTGGAATTCATTTGGGTTTGCAGCCCTTATGCATATGCATATATATCATGTATAACCATGCACTTGTTGCACTTCCCATATAGTTCCATATATCTTCCAGTCGTAGTATGTAGCGCACGCACAATTGCCTTAACACCTGAATGCGTGTTTATTTATGATTTCATCGTTCGTTTTGCTTTCAGATATTTTGGTGAATGTCTGATTGTATTTAATCGATTTGAGCATTTGAACAGCATTCAGAGTGCAGCCTAATAATAGAGCAACAGTTAAATAAGTTTTTCAATGATTATCGAACTGTAATCTGTATATATATATTTTGCATGTGCCACGCCCTCGTAACACACCCATCCCGTCCCACTTGTATCCTATGTAACGTTTGCCAATCGAAAATATATTATTAATACAGTATTTAAATTTGCAAATATAAAGAGTAAATTTTGTTGAGAGTTGAGCAAGTTTTGTTGATTGATAACTCGTTTCAAACCGTTCTCTTACGTATTTTTCAGGCTATTCGAATCGGTCGCCCGCTCCTGCCTGGCCAAGTCGAATGTTACCCAGCAGCTGAACATGGCCGTCGATGGAGCCGATAGCCAGGAGGTGGTCAACATTAACTGAGTAAACGCAACGGTCCGACGCTTCAGCCTGGACATAAATTTTGTGCCCCAATGAAACGTAGACAGCAGCAGCAGTAAGAGGAAGAAGCAGCAGTAGGAGGAAGAGAAGGGAGCAGCAGCAGCAGCAACAGCAGCAGCAGTAAGAGGAAATAGCAGCAGCAGCCGTAGCCGTAGCCACCGCGGCCACCATAAAATCAATTATATATATATATATACTAACGAGATGTGTTTAGTTTTTAGTAAATCGTTTTAAGCAAAATATGAAACAATGAAATTACAAAAACGCAGAGCAACAAAAACTAAAAAAAAAAAAACAAAAAAACTAAAAAAAAAAACAAAAAGAAAATCGAAAAAAAAAATGATAAAAAACGAAAAGAAAAAAAACAAAAAAAAAAAAACAAATCAAACAAAAGCCAGTCGTCGCCCAGCCAGGCAACTGGCCCGAACCGAGAAAGAGGAAGAGGAGCTGTTACAATACGATATATATGATAAATTCGAGCTGTATTTAAGTAGTAATTATTGTGTTGAGATATATATATATATATGATAATCGAAATGAGCAACATTTTAAAATGCCCGCAAATGTTAAACAAAAATTTTAATTCAGTTGTATTATAATTATAAATGGAAAAATTCATGTATTTACCTGTGGTTTTATGCCCTGGGCTCAGGTTCAAATAAAACCCCACGCCCCCCTCCCCCCACTCCCTCCTCCTGTTCCCCTGCCAGGAGAAAGTGAATCGAATGAAAAAAAAGGAAAGAAGAAAAACAAAATGAGAAAAAAAAATTGCAAAATGTACTCGAAAATACACAAAAACTAACAAATGCGATGTAAATATGTAGTTGTTGTTGCTATTGACAAGGAACAGCAACAATAATAAAATAATAAAATTAAAAAAAAAGTATATATAACAAAAAGACATAGCAGCAACAACGAGCACATATAAATCTATATCTATATATATATAAAGAGATATATAAAGATATGGCATATATATATATTCATGTAATTACTATTCATTTATTGTGTGTATTTATATATAAATAATGCAGGAGCAGAAAAAAAATATATATATATTGTAAAGCCAATTCAAGTCAAGTTAATTGAAGATTAAAGCATAAACGAATGTTTTTTTTTTGTTTTAGATAACGTTTAATTTTTGTTCAAACTAAGCTTTTGTTTAATGCATAATTTTAAACTGTTTCAAACGCGCTTCACGATCTTCACTTAAATATGTTTTTATAAACAAATACAATATATATTTATATATATCAGAGACATACACATTGAAATCCATGCCTTGTTCAGATCAGAGACCCGAATATATGTTTTGCAATTGAAATGATTTTAATTTTAGACTATTTTAAAGTTAATTAAATGTTTAAAAACAAGCGCTGCAACAACAACAAGAACAACAAGAAGAGCGCAACAACAAAGAACTTTAGTTTATATAAACAAATATGCACATAAATTAATTGTATTTTGAATTGAAGAGGGCAATTGTGTACAATAAATAGGCAAACTAGGCCAAGGCGGGGCACACACACACACACACACACACACACTCACACACTCATTTATAGACTAATTGAATTATGCAGTTGCAACAACAACAATAACAGCAACAATAACATGAACAACTAATTTTAAACAAATTGCAGTTAAAAAAGGGCGTTAACAATTATTATTAAAACGATTTCCGATTCTTATGTACATGCGTTCAAACAACAGCAAAAATATAATATATATATATATATATATATATATATATTAAATATATATTTATATATATTTATATATATTATATAATTCATTACAATCGATCTAAGTAACATTATGCATTAAGTGGAAAAATATAAAATATATGTATAAATGGCAAAATTTTAAATATGCCGCGTTTCACTTTATAATCTTGCTCTTGATTATAAATTTTTTTGGATTTATGGATCGCTCAATTTGAGTCTAAAATATATATTTAGAGCTCACAGAGAAGACCGCATCCTATATATCAGATATCTTCGATATCTATATCCATGTGTCTGAGCTGGAGCAACAGTATCTTGATGTGAGCTTCAGAAGGAAAGTATTTAATGCTTGAGGATCTGGAGCAGGTCCAAAGGTTTTAGGGCTTGGATTAGGAGCTGTTCTGGCATTCCTCCTATGGTTGCTTGGCTTCTGCAAGTCTATACGAGTTGAACCAGAACGTTCTCAAATGCTTTCATTCCTCCAAAAGCAATGTGGAGGATATCGAGAAATTGGTAAATCGTGTTCAGCAATCTCTTGTTAATATTATCTATCTTTTATCGTGTATGCATTTCTTTCCTTAGCAAATTCTGCAGGCAAAAGTAACTGAGGAAATCTTTAAATTGCCTAAAATTGATCCTAAGGCCTTCAGTGCTTTCAGCCAGGTTGAATACTGAAGCAATAATATGATCTATTCACTGGACTCGTTTAAGAGATCTATTTAGTGAAGAAGAAATCGCAGGCTCGGCTTGTCCTTTGCCGAATTCGAGGTTCGTATAGCTAAAAAATAACTTTGGTTTTATTCAAATATCTCTTTCGTTTTTAGGTTTTATTGTTGGTTTTGTGCGGCATTCTACAGAATCTGAAGATCCTATTCGATTCCAAGCAACGAAATCATATCCAAGAGGTTCTGACTTGGCTGCAGGTTCGTGGCGCTCTGGTTATATTTTATGTATTTATTTATTTTAGAAGTAGTTCGTAGACTTGAACTCAGCCCATGCCGATAGGACATATCATACGTAATAAGTGCACACTCTTTTTTTCTGTCATCAAGTCCCTTAGACATCGTTTCGATGAGCAGGAGCGTGGGAGAGCCAAATGCGACAGAGCGAGATAGCTGTTGCTTGTTTAGCTCCCGCTACGTTTACTCTCAGTGCTGATCGCAGAAATGCATGTGTGTGCGTGTGCACAAGTCAGTGCTGCCCATCTAGCTAAAATTGGCTATTTTCCAGCCGGCAGCAGTTGCAATTTTAAACTGATTTAGCTATTTTGTGGCATTTCAATGACAAGTACTTTACAATTTAGTAAAGTATTTCGTAAAAGAGCTTTTCCTCTACATTCTTAGTGCTCAATGGGGTGTAGGCGTATACTTAAAAAAGCTTTGCTTAGGGCGGCCCCTCGCGCGCGCTCTCTCTCTCTATCACTCTCTCTTTTTCTGGATACTAATGTACGTGTGTATGTGCACATATGTGTATGTCGTATATATGTAGCCCATTTCCGCACCCAGACTTACATAAGCTACAACTAAGAGTGGGCGTGTGGGCGGGCTTTGGATGGGTGGCAGCGCATTTAGGTTAAGTAAACACAACGAAATGTCGATAAACGGCAAACAGCTAAAACTGCAAAACTCGACAAGAGACATAGAAAACAATCAAATGTATCTGTGTACGTTTTTATTGTAAATATACATTTGACACGAATTCAGCATTAATTGAAATGCTGCAGTCATCGCTAACGCTCGCTGTTAATTCACATGAATTTTGACATAAGCCTGAAAGGAAAAAGAAAAAAAAAAAAACAAATACCAGTATGTATCTGTAGCTGTAATTGTGTGCGCGCTTGGCAACCGGGCAAAGGCGACGGCGGCGGCGGCGGCGGCAGCAACAACATAAAAAAAATGTGGCACACTTAAATGCTGCGTCAACGTCGCAGTCGCTGCGCGAAAAATTCCCCTACTCTCGGCCTCATGTACTGGCCCCTAGCACACAAACAAGCACGCTCTGTACATAATGTGTCAGCGAAAGCTACAAAAAAGCGCGTCAAATTTGAATTTGCTTAGAAGTGCGCGCGCCACACAGAGAGCGACGGGCAGAGAGAGCGAGCGAGCGAGCGAGAGCGCAAAAGTTTCGTTAAAAAGCTGCAACTGCGGCAACGCAAGCGACAGCTACACGCGCTGTCACGTGTTTGTATTGCCTGTGTATGTGCATGTGTGTCTGTATGTGTTGTATATACATTATGCATGTATGTATGTATGTATGTATGTATGGGCATGTAGTTTTGTGTAGCTCAGCAAAGCTTTTTGTGGCGCACGTTAAGCTCGCGCCCGCGCTCGCTCGCTCTCCTTCTATCTCCCGCTCTCTCTCTCTGTCGCACTGCCAACAGCGGCAGCGGCTGAGTCAGCACCATTAGTTTGAACACATTTTCTGTATGCTGCCAGCGGCAAGTCCAAGTCTTTTTGTTTTTCTATCGTTCATACATATATTCTCAACTCACACACACACACTCGATTAGTTGCCTTTTCAAATGTTTATGCAGCATTGCAACTGGCTGACAGATACAAATGCAGGCATTGCCATTGCCCCATTGCCCAGTCTCGCAGAGCTTACAACATTTGGTGGTCGGATCCCACGAAACCACACAAAAGCCACAACTGGATTTCTTTAATCTGACACGCTCTCTACCTGCGCGCGTGTGTGTGTGTGTGTATGTATTGCCATCTCTCGCCACACTTTCGCGCTCTAGCTACACTCTGCGCTCTGGTCGCTGCTGACCCAGTTTCCTAGGCCTGCACTGGCCAGGCGGGTTCGGGTTTTGGCTTTGGCTTTCACAACTTTCTTGTCGCTGCTTAGCTACACCCACCCTTGGCCCTTCAAGCCTACACCCCCCTTCCCTGCACCCTTTCCCGCTCTACAATTGCAGTTCAGTTGGAGTTGGCTTTCCATCGCACCGCCCCGCCCCGCTCTGCCACAAATATGTTCTAATGTCACATGCTCGGCGCTTGGGCCAACAAATTAAAACATTATCTTGTTAAATTGAAATGGCAACGGAAATTACCAAAATCGAAAATAAATTGCTTGCTTCAAATGTGAAACGTGTCCTTTCTGAAAGGATTATACGCGCACATCTGTATGTGCGCATGTGTATATGTGTATAGCACACGCCATTTGAATAGGTACAGTGGGTAAGAAATCGTTATTGTATTGGGTGTAACTTGCTGATCGAGTATCTTATCATTTTTGATATTTACTTGCGTTGCTTCGATCATAAAATATAATCATAATTAATGAACATATATAAATAAATCGAATAAATGTTAAGTGCTTGCCGTAGCTAACGATAATTAAAAACGATCTAGATTACGAATATCGTTTGCTTGCGCTCTCTGCGTGTGCGTAGTTGACGATATTCGCAAGAAGCAAATCAACAGCAGCTAATATCGTATGCAATTCGCAACGAATATCGTTTGTTTACATCACGTCCGCACTGTTGCAATTTATCGAGCATTGATGCATATCGATAGGCAGCACTTTTTGCAGTGTTTTACAGTAATTTCAAGGGCATGGTAAACTAAGTGGAGACAAAACCAATTGTAAATTGTGCTAAGAAGTTGTTAAGTTTAGTGTTTAAATAAGTGTTTAATTATCATAAAAACAGTTATAGCGGGCAAAATGATCGTGAAGATTGTCGCCAGCTGCTGCATTTGCCGGCTGAGCTGACAAGTTGCGTGTTTTAATTAAATTGTCAACGTGTGTGTGTGTGTGTTCGTGTGCGTGTGCGTGTATGCAAAGCATATTTGTGCGCTCTCAAGCATGACAAACCCAAAGGGTGACAATGGCCAAATGTAGCCGCTGCAAATGTATCTGCTGGTAGGTGGAAGTTCATTGGAATGTCCGGTAGACCGCAGCACACACAGGTGAGATATGCACAATTACCAGGGCCTGGGTGAGCGGGTGGGTCGGGGCGGCCGGGGGCGCTGCGGTCAGTGTTGTCAAGTTGGTAATTTTTAAAAGCTAAATTTGGCTATGGCATCGTTGCAATTCAGCTACTTTTAGCTATTCTAGGACTTATGTACTTTTCTGAAGCGACAGTTGGCAACACTGGCAGCGGTTGGCAACATCGGCTGCGGTTGGCAACTGCCAGCCTGCGGCTTGGGCCGGGACAAAGTGCAGCCAGGCTGCACTGGCGTAACTGGAACACTTTGTACATGGAGTATATCTCTTATATAGACCTATGTCTATATTAACAGTATATATAGCGCCGGGGTATATATATTATCCTATATAGACATAGGTCAACATTTCCCAATCCCATAAGACCGTTAAATCTCATTCGATTTTCATGAGGTTTGACCTCTAGATCAATACCCTCAAAAATATCCTATACAGACTGTTGGAAGGATGAGTGTGTGAAATACACACAAACACTCATACATACAAAAGTTACAATGAACAAGTAGGCTTTTGTTATTTTCAGTCTTGATACTGAAAAGCTGCTATTGTTTAGCCTCAGTCTTTACTGAACTGCAGAGAGTAAAGAAGTTAACGTGCTCAGTAAAATAAAATAATAAATATTGAAATCAACAAATCTAAACAGTAAGTACTAAGTGTACATTTCAATACAGTCGGTCGAAATTTTCCACAAAATTTAACTTCAGCTCGAAGACAACTTATGCACTTTATGGCAATTGAAGATATAGCCTTTCAAGTCCGTCCAATCACAGTGGCATTTTTAATCGGCCGAACACTTTCCAAGGATTCTGTGAAGAAAATCTGCGCTGACAACAGATTCGTCACTCTGATAAAAGTTGTTAACATAGAGTAACAGGATACCAGATCTGGCCAACAAAGCGGCCGTTACGATATTCGACAATTCAACATGGGAGCGGTACACGATGAGTTTCTACGTTACGAAAATCTTTGTGTATGCCAAATCAACCCGTTTCGAACGATGCGACTATTCCAGATTGTTTCAATTCGTTTAGGCTGGAGTCTATCAAGATTCTCACTGTGCTTATTGTGCTATTGCTCATTTTTTATTCAAGAAGCCTGGTCGAATCAATTTGGGATTGAAGTTTCTCCGTGTCTATTTCTTATCATTTTTTTTTATTCAAGAAGCCTGGTCGATTCAATTTGGGATTGAAGTTTCTCCGTGTCTGCTCTTCTTTTTTATTCAAGAAGCCTGGTCGAATCAATTTGGGATTGAAGTTTCTCCCTATGTCTACTCTTCATTTTTATTCAAGAAGCCTGGTCGATTCAATTTGGGATTGAAGTTTCTCCCTATGTCTACTCTTCATTTTTATTCAAGAAGCCTGGTCGAATCAGTTTGTCAATGCCGAATCAACTCGTTTTGAAGGATGCGACTATTCAAGATTGTTTAAATTCTTTTAGGCTTGCATCTATTAGGATTCTAAGATTCTCACTGTGCTTATTGTGCTATTGCTCATTTTTTATTCAAGAAGCCTGGTCGAATCAATTTGGGATTGAAGTTTCTCCCTATGTCTACTCTTCATTTTTATTCAAGAAGCCTGGTCGATTCAATTTGGGATTGAAGTTTCTCCATGTCTGCTCTTCATTTTTATTCAAGAAGCCTGGTCAAATCAATTTGGGATTGAAGTTTCTCCCTATGTCTACTCTTCATTTTTATTCAAGAAGCCTGGTCGAATCAGTTTGTCAATGCCGAATCAACTCGTTTTGAAGGATGTGACTATTCAAGATTGTTTTAATTCTTTTAGGCTTGCATCTATTAGGATTCTAAGATTCTCACTGTGCTTATTGTGCTATTGCTCATTAAGAAGCCTGGTCGAATCAATTTGGGATTGAAGTTTCTCCCTGTGTCTATTTCTTATTTTTTTTATTCAAGAAGCCTGGTCGAATCAATTTGGGATTGAAGTTTCTCCCTATGTCTACTCTTCATTTTTATTCAAGAAGCCTGGTCGAATCAATTTGGGATTGAAGTTTCTCCCTATGTCTACTCTTCATTTTTATTCAAGAAGCCTGGTCGAATCAATTTGGGATTGAAGTTTCTCCGTGTCTGCTCTTCATTTTTATTCAAGAAGCCTGGTCGAATCAATTTGGGATTGAAGTTTCTCCCTATGTCTACTCTTCATTTTTATTCAAGAAGCCTGGTCGAATCAATTTGGGATTGAAGTTTCTCCGTGTCTGCTCTTCATTTTTATTCAAGAAGCCTGGTCGAATCAATTTGGGATTGAAGTTTCTCCCTATGTCTACTCTTCATTTTTATTCAAGAAGCCTGGTCGAATCAGTTTGTCAATGCCGAATCAACTCGTTTTGAAGGATGCGACTATTCAAGATTGTTTTAATTCTTTTAGGCTTGCATCTATTAGGATTCTAAGATTCTCACTGTGCTTATTGTGCAATTGCTCATTTTTTATTCAAGAAGCCTGGTCGATTCAATTTGGGATTGAAGTTTCTCCCTGTGTCTATTTCTTATCATCTTTTTTATTCACGATTTCGTAAATTTTTGTAATATGAGACTGAATAGTTTTCTAAACATGTCTGAGCACAAATTTATAAATTTGGTTATCCATTATAATAAAATTGCAAAAATTTTGTTGGTTATTTTTGTGCACACTTAACTTATCAATCACAGCCAGTTGATTGATTGACTGATTGAAGTTGTCTCTCTATCTCTATCTCTCTCTATCTCTCTGTCCCTCAGTCTCTGTCGCTGTCTCTATTATGAGCGAATTGACAGGAAATTGCGCTGCTGTCGCTACCAATTGGCATTCAAATAAAATCAATTCCAATCCAAAACTCGGTTACTAGAAGAAAATGTGCTTGTACTTTTTGCATGCCTCCCGAAGAGCGAATACTCTTTGCCGAAGTTTAGTTGGGTTAATTTGGAAAACCAAAAAGTTCACCCTACATAAAACTAGTCAAGCAGTCGATTTTTATACGCTTAGCCCATTAAAAATGGGTATAAGGGTATATTGTATTTGTGCAAAATCCAAATGTATGTAACAGGCAGAAGGAAGCATCTCCGACCCCATAAAGTATATATTCTTGATTTTTTAGATGTAGGTGCTCCTAGTGCCTGCGCAGATCGAGTTTGTTTCCGATAACTTACTCCGTTTCCAAGCAATCGATAAAAATCGATATCGATATCCTGTTTTTTGGGCAATTTTGGTAAATAAAAAGAGCTAGTCACCAAACTTGACATATAGCTTCAAAAATAGAATATATATACGCATTTGATGTTGGAAGAAGAGGGTTAAGGGTAGGGAGCTCCCGACTAGAACCTCTTACTTGTTTTTATATAGAACTATGTGAGAAAGTGATCCGTTCTTGGTTTAATGTTAATAGCAGAATTTTAAAGGACGGAAAACAGTTTCCCTGGAAAATCCTTTCTTTTTAGCTAATAAATCCTTTGAAAACTATTAGATATAGGGTTTCCAATCTGGCATCTAAGCCAAATATCTTCAATCTTTCTACAATTTATCCTCATAATTACATAGTTCGTGACAGAATCTGCATGCCTCAAATGGGAAGAGTATATAAAACAAAACTGGCATGAGAAGTGCATTTAGCAATTTTGCTCACGTTTTAATTGCATTTCGCAACTCGAATTGACAAAAACAGGCAAATCTAACTCCACACACACACACATACACACTAGCACACACACACACACACTCGCTTTAGGGCTGGACATTGGCATAGGGTCCGATGGCAGCCGCCCTTGCCATCAGGGCGGGAATGTTGCTCTGCTCGTAGTTGCCGCTAAAGTACTGGGCATATGGCCCGGAGGCAAAGACGGCCACGTCGTCGCCACCGTGGGTATCCGCGTTGAGGGGCACCATCGCGGGGCTCACATAGAGCGGATGCTCCGTGTGCTGTTGGGTGATGCGTTTGCGGCCCTCGGCCTTGTTGTAGGTGCCATCAAAGCCGGGTCCATTGGCATAGGAGAGTATATTGTAGGGCAGCTCGTCGTCGGCCAGCTTATTGGCCAGGCCCGTAATCGCCTGCTCGCGCAGCTGCAAGGATTACCCAGAAGAGAATATAATCAGAGTAACAGGCGAAGTGGACTGGGAGCTCACCGGGTAACCATTGATGGTCATGACGTGCGAGTGATCCGAGGTGACAACAATCAGGGTATCCGACTCGTCGGTCATTTCGCGCGCCCGCTGCACGGCCCGTGCGAACTCGGCGGTGTCCTCCAGCGAGCGCCGCGCATAGTTCGAGTGATGCGCCATATCGATGCGTGCGCCCTCCACGAACAGGAAGTAACCCTGCTCGTTGCGCCGGAGCACGCGCAGCGCCGCCTCCGTCAGCTCGGTGAGCGAGGGATCCGCTAGATGGCTGTTCCTGGGACTGCGTGCCCGATCGCCGTCGTAGGGCAGATGGCCGTTGGCAAACAGGCCGAGCAGATAGTCCGTGTTGTCCAGGTCCAGCTGGGTCAGGCCCTTGCGACTCCAGACGTAGCTGGCGCTGGCATTCTGTGCCTGCTTGTCGGCCAGCCAATCCTTGATCAGATTGCGTCCGTCCTGGCGATAGCCGGGATGGCCCACCTCATCGCGCATGCTGCGGTCCAGAAAGTTCTGCTTGCCGCCACCCAAAATAACCTTCAGCCGCTTGCCCACCTCCCATTCGACCAGCTGGCGGGCGATGTCGATGCTCTCCTCGGGATCACACTGCGCCTCGCTCACCTCCGCATCGTTCTCCCAGTTGCGATCAGCGATGTGGGCGTACATGCCTGCCGGCGAGGCGTGTGTGACACGTGCCGTGGTCACAAAGCCGGCATCCTTGCCCGCATCCTGCGCCCACTTGGCAATGCTGTCCACCTGATCCTCAGTCACATAGGCAGCCTTGCAGTCGTAACGGGGCACATTCGCATTGACCCCAATGGTGCCATAGTTGCCCTTGACACCGCCCAAATAGGCAGTCGAAGTGCAGGCCGAGTCGGCCACCTGCCGATTGACGCAGTACGTCTTGGCCAGACCCGTGTACGGGAACTGCTCGAAGTACACCTTCTCGGAGCTGTCGCCCAACAGATTCCGGGTGGCTGTCACCGTGTGCACGGACATGCCATCGCCCAGAAACATGATCACATTCTTCGCCTGCTTCGTTTGCAACGCCTCCAGAGCTGCCAGCTTGGCCGCCAACGTACTCTGCGCCTTCTCCCGCCAGTAGCTGCTCTCCGTCTCCTGCTCGTACTTCAGCGCCGGCGAGACGCGCGACGCGGAACGAGCATGTTGTTGGTCTGCAATTGAATGGAGTCTTGACTAATCTTTCCTCTGGTCATGTGCTTATCAACTGGTCTCTATCGATTTATGGCCCCGATAAGCAGCCAATTAATTGCAATCTAAGCTAAGAATTGCTAAAAACAACAAACTCCCAATAACTATTTCGTCTAGCTGCTGAAAATGTGTTGTATATTAAATTTAATTCAGCCTAACCATAAAACTTTCTTCCTTCAAGATAAGTGGACGCAATATATATGGGCACCACAGTAAGGTGACCCTGGAGCTGTCAACTTCTCTATGAGTTCAGGGTCTTGGAAGCAGGGTTGGGAATATTTAATCAGTATAAGTGTTTGGTCGCTGGTTCAAACCCAGCAGCAATTATCAACTTAAATATAAGTTTATTTAATAATTTTATTTCTAATAATTTTTCTATATGTTTCTATACAAGCGCAAGGTCGCTGGTTCAAACCCAGCACAAATTTTGAAAATTGTATATTTAATATTCATATTTATATGAAATTTTCTTTATATTTCTATAAAAGCGAAATGTATGTTTTTTTTATATTCCTATATATATGAACTTTTCTATTTCCTGCTTTATTTTCGTTTCCTAGACTTGCCTGGATTTGAACTCGCTTGCGCGTTGTTTATTTGCCTTAATGACTAGTTCACTTGAAACACTTCTAAGTGGGACTTCATGTTGGAGATTTCGTTGTGAAATTTATAAATAACTCTTCTTGCCTGAGGCTTAAGCTGGAAACCTTCTTCTCCTCCTAATCTAGGAACTCGGTAAACACTTTCCTGAGAACTCATACACAAAAACTTAACTCGAGAAGTAATTGTAAGACACACTCCAGCTTCACATCTTCACATTGTGTTTTAAACATTTGAGATTTCTTGAATCTTCCACTGAATCTTCCATTGAGATTTCTTGAATCTTCCATCTGATCTGAGAAGAGACTCTCCGCTCTTGAACACACCTTTTTCGGCTTGAACTACAGCCAGCAATAGTAGAGCGCTGGCAAGCAGCAAACAAATTCTATAATATTGTCCCATTGCACGCTGGACGCAATCGAGTTGTGTTTGCCCAGATCAGCAGGCGTAGTTGCACTGAAAGGTCCGAGTGGACGAGCTGTTCGATAATCTTGGCACGCACACGTAAATCTAATCAGCGAATTCTACGTAATCGCAGGAAAAAAATCAAATCAATTTATGGCTAACACGTTAACTAAATATTAAAGGAGATTACATGTGCCTGAAGAGGGGACTCTTGCACAAGGGCCGGGATTAGTGCAGCATGCAGCAAAAACAAAAACAAGCAAATTGCTTGAGTGCTTGTTTATATATATGTATATATATTATAAATAATATATACTCTTCTGTGGCATATGCCCAACGATCTTTTCATTCAATTTTTTCTCGATAACTCCGCATATTTTCATAATGTCGATAAATATCGATTTTGAGACATTATCTTTAGGGCATAATTCGAGAATTATAAGAGCTAAATGCTCAAAATTTGGAATCTAGATTCTCATATACTATATATAGAGCTTATCATTTAACTTTTTGCTGATAACTCTTGCTGTTTTCTGATAATCGATAAATATCGATTTTGAGACATTATCTTTAGGGCATATTTTGAGAATTATAGGAGCATAATGTGCCAAATTTTAAATGTAGGCTCTGGTATGTTTTATGCATGTTAAGAATATTTAATACTTATAATATTTGGATACTAATCAATTATGAATATTTGTAGCTTATTAAAAATGTGTGTATAGCTTAAAGCTGTGTGCAGGGTATTACCTAGTCGACCAAATTTGATTGTTTGGTTGAAGTTATCTGGCGTTAAGTCTGCCATTGTGTACTTTTTTCTCACAATCTGCAAAGAATATTTCAACTTCGACGTGTTGATGTTTGGCTTGCTTTCTTTTCACTTAAGCTCGTTACGTATACGCTCCGTATGCCCGATGGGCAAGTGCTGACCCCTTCGGAGCTGCCCATTTAGTTCGTTTTTAATCAAGCAGCACACAGAGAGTGTACATTGCTTTGCTTTGTCCTGTTGTTGTCCTCGTTACAGACGCCTTTTGACGTCATCGCCAGCAGCAAATGCAAATTTTCTAATATGAACTCGATCAAATGCAAATAACCGAGTCGCCCACCTGCTGTGAATTAAATAGAACCTTTGTGCCAGCAGCTAATCCTTTTCAAAGGCTAGAA